AAACTAACTAAAAGATAAAAGATATAATATATCTAACAATCAACATAAATTTCCTTGTCAGACTTCGAAATCGAGGGGCTATGATGCGCTTTTAGTGGTGGTCGATCGTTTAAGCAAATATGGGCATTTCATTCCTTTAAAGCACTCATACACCGCCCGCACAACAGTAGAGATTTTTGTGAAGGAAGTGGTTAGATTGCATGGGGTGCCAATATCAATAGTGAGTGATCGAGACCCTTTGTTTCTAAGCTTATTTTGGAAAGAATTGTTCAAGTTGCAAGGAACAAACCTCCAAATGAGTAAGACATACCACCCGGAGTTGGATGGCCAAATGGAAGTGTTGAATAGAATTGGTATAATACTATCTAAGGTGTTTCTGTTCAGAACAGCCACGAAGTTGGTGTTCCATTCTTCCTGTGGCTGAGTATTGGTATAATACTAGCTACCAAGGAGCGGCTAAATGCACACCCTTTGAGACGATGTATGGAAGGGCTCCCCCAACTCTAACCAGATTCATTCCAGGAGAGACATTGGTTGAGGTAGTAGCTTAGGAGCTATAGACTCGAGACGAAGCCCTCCAACAGCTCAAGTTTCATTTAACGAGAGCCCAAGACGTAATGACTAAATATGTTAATCGTAGGAGGAAACCATCGACAATCAAGGTGGATGAATGGGTCTATTTGAAAATTAGACCCCATAGGCAATCATCAATGTCGGTAAGGCTGCATCTAAAGTTGTCAATCAGCTATTTTGGACCTTTCAAAGTGTTACAACAGGTGGGCAAGGTGGCTTTCAGGATGCTTCTACCAGTCACGACTCAAATACACCCTGTATTCCATGTGTCACAACTGAAATTGGTAATAGGGACAAAAAGGGTGGAGAAGGAGTTGCCAGCATATTTGCAGATGGAGGGTCCTTCATTCTGGCCTAGGAAGGTTCTCGATAGAAGGTAACAACAACAAGGAGAGGAGGCAAGAGAGCAGGTTTTGATTGAATGGCAGGAAGGAGGGTTAGAGGGAGCTACCTAGGAAGATCTTGCGACTATCCAGGATGAATTCCCTGAGTTCAACCTTGGGGACAAGTTTGATTTTCAGGCGGAGGGTAATGATAGGGGTTGGAAAGTGTATGAGACTAGAAGAAAGGCAGAACGAAAGTGAGTTAGAAGCCTAACTATATTAACAGTTAGGAAGTGCCGAGAATGGGATGATATAAAACAGAGTTATTGTTTCTTTGTTAAGGAGAGAGGATTCTTTTGTAAAGTCTGGACTTTGGCCAGAGGAGGGGGATTAGGCTCCTGTTTAGACCATTCTGATTGTACATTGTTCTTTAATAATACAGGAACCCAATTCTTTTCTATTTGTGTTCTTGTTGTTTGTGTTGAAAGAGTGAGTGGGATAGGTTTCATTTCTCAAAAACCTATCAAAATTAGACTCCCTCGGAGCAACAAACCCGAGAGGTTGCTCCATGTAGACCTCCTCTTCTAGAGCACCATAAAAAGGTGCATATTTAATGATGAAGAGACCAATGACAAATGGTTGCCATGGCAAGGAAAAGCCTGACAGTGGTCATTTTGGCCAACGAAGGAAAAGTATAATTGTAGTTGAGTCCATAGATTTAAGTGTATCCTTTTTCTACCAAGTGAGCTTTTAGATTATTAATGTCACCATTAGGACCAACTTTTACTGAATACACCCAACGACAACCAATTGTCTTCTTTCCAGATGAAAGAGGAACTAATTTCCACATACCATTTTGTTCAAGGGCTTATACTTCAATGACCATGGCTTGTCATCATTAGGATGATTAAGTGTCTCTTTCACAATTTTAGGAATGGTAATAAAAGAAACCGGGGAGATAAAAGAATAATACGAAGGAGACAACCAATGATAGCTTAAAAAATTATAAATAAGATGGAGATTGCGAGTACCTTTACGAATAATTATAGGCCAACTATAATCCTCATTACCAGGAGTCATAGTGTGGGAGATGATGGTCAGGGATTTGATGATGAGGACTTATCATGTGATATTTAACTACACATTTGAGTCAAAGGTGACGGTCTAGGAGAATGATAGCATCCATTTTTTACCTTTTTTGTGTTTATTGTCATAAATAAATCAAATTTTTTCTAGTTTTTTCTTCAAGTTTAGTGTATTTTGTATTGTTTTGTATTTTAGTTGTGTTATGCTTGTTTTACCTTTAATCTCCATGTTTATAAGTGTAAAATAAGTGAATAGGAAGCTTTTGTAGTGAAGGACAACAAACTAAAACTCAAGGGAGCATGTTTTATACATGAATTTATCATTTTGGAGCAAATAGCTACAAAGTCAAAGAGCAACCAGTGTTGTAGAGGAACATAGCGTTGAGTGGCACAAAAGTGGCATTGAGCGCCACCTGGTCCAGTAGCGCTTGTGTTGAGCAATGTGAAATTGCGCTGAGCGATATTTTGACAAAGAACCCATTTGGGTTTTAACTAATATTACGTTGAACGATGTTGATATGACGTTAAGCGACGATGTTGTTGATATGTTAAAATAAGGTTTAAACATTTCTCACGAGCTTTGGGAAATTTTCTTCCTCCTACACTTCACTCTCGACCTAGGTTGACTTAGAGAGGCCCTTGGAGGGTGTTTCGGGTGTTGGGAAGCTCTCTCACCCCTCATTGTGTCTTTAATCTTTATCCATAGTGTTTTCCCCTTCTTAGGAGCTACAGTTGGAGGCATTGACATGAAGATTAAGCACAATTGCATCTTCTCTTCGGTTTCCATTTCTTTCTTGTCCTTTAAATTAGTAGAACCCTAAGTTCTCCACCATGAGGCACAATTGCAGCCAACAAGTTTTTAACTCCCTCACAGTTAAAACCTTGTTTGTCCTTAAGCAAAAGTAACTTAGTTTAGAAAAATATTACTCCACAAAGGTCAAACAACTAAGATGCAAGTTCATACAACCAATTAAGATAACATTAATGAATGCTCTTATTGCAAAACCAATCCAAAAAGAATATGTGCAACCTTGCAAATCCCTAACTATGGTGTTGAAATTGTAAACATCACGAGAATGAATGTACATGCTATATAAGAGATTAACTATCATGACAAAGAAGTTTCCATTTATCAACCAAAGGTGTAAAAAACTTGTTGGCTGCAAAACCAACAGTAAGGGCACCAGTCATTGCGTAACAAGTGATAAATATCGTTCTATCGAAGAAACTTGTGCAATACTCGACAACTCTTGCACTCTAACTTAATTATACCACAAAGTTCACAAAAACATAAGAAACTCTTTTTGTATTTTCATCAAACAGTTTGTGCAAGAAAATGTAACATATATTATTTAACAATGCTTGAGACTAGAGTTCAACTACTTCATTCTTATGCATTAATAATCATCTTAATTTTATATTCATGTCAAAATCAACTTACAAGTATACTCAAATCTTATCTCTAGTAACTTTGAGCTTCTGATAACTTATGAAGTTCCAATTCCTTGAATCCTCAATAAGCTATCATGCATTAAGTTTAAGAGTCTAAGATTATTAATGAATCATGTTCTATTCCTATATACAAGCTCTATTGGGTATCCAATTTCAATTCTAGATTGAAGTCAATTTATAATATAAAAGTAGGTGCAAATCTCACCTTACAAGCCGGTTTTGTAGGGTTGAATTAGGCTTAAAGTTCATTTCTTAATTATCCTCGCGATATTTGTTGTTTGTTGTACATATTGTTCCACCCGCTATCGAACCGTTATCGGACCATCCATTAATGTTTAGTCTCACGTTCGAGATGTATATGCCTCGGCATGGAGGGGGCGTGTTGGAAGTCCTACATCGACTAGAGATAAGGCCGATTTAAAGTGTATAAGACAGTGCAAACCTCACCTTACAAGCCGGTTTTATGGGGTTAAATTAGGCTTAAAGTCCAGTTCTTAACATGGTAACAGAGCCAGGTTAGAGCATATCCTAGTGAGATTTTGTTGAACATATTGTTCCACCCGCTATCGAACCGTTATCGGACCATCCATTAATGTTTAGTCTCACGTTCGACTAAAGATAAAGTCAATTTATAGATATAAAAGTAGGTGCAAATCTCACCTTACAAGTCGGTTTTGTAGGGTTGAATTAGGCTTAAAGTTCATTTCTTAATTATCCTCGCGATATTTGTTGTTTGTTGAACATATTGTTCCACCCGCTATCGAACCGTTATCGGACCATCCATTAATGTTTAGTCTCACGTTCGACTAAAGATAAAGTCAATTTATAGATATAAAAGTAGGTGCAAATCTCACCTTACAAGTCGGTTTTGTAGGGTTGAATTAGGCTTAAAGTTCATTTCTTAATTATCCTCGCGATATTTGTTGTTTGTTGAACATATTGTTCCACCCGCTATCGAACCGTTATCGGACCATCCATTAATGTTTAGTCTCACGTTCGAGATGATGTTTATACCTCGGCGTGAGGATGTGTGTTAGAAGTCCCACATCGACTAAAATAAAGTCAATTTATAATATATAAGTGAGTACAAACTTCACCTTACAAATTGGTTTTATGGGTACGCATCTTTCTCGTTTATTCAACTTGTCCATCTTTACATAGTATAGAACCATTTGAACACCAACAACCTTCCTCTCAAACATAAATTCCTACTCAAACAAAAAATTTCTTAACTACAAATACTTGTGACTCGTTAACTATAACAAGGAACGTTTTTCTTAAATTCCTATTAAGAAAACTTTCAATAAAAGTTATCTATAAGTCTATGTAACTTCATATCGTATTTATTTGTGTTAGTGAAAAAACTATTAAGATATTTTAATCAAGTTTGGATCAATTTATCTTCTTTTTTTTTTCATTCACAACAACAAAGAGTGTGTATATATAGAGAGGGGTTTACTTAAAATATAAAGATTAAACTGTAAAAAAACAAATCAAACATATTCACACAGAAGATTCTCTCAATCTCATAATATACAATTTTCTACTTAATTTCTTTTGCTATCTTATACTATACTGTGTTTTCAAAATAGATTGATGTTATTTTTTTTTAATATATTTTAAAATATTAAATTAATATATTTTGAAAACGTAACAGAGAAACAACACATAAAAAAATCAACAAAGAATCTAAATTCAAGAATATCTCAATATCATAATAATTAGTTCATAACTCGGTGATATCAGATCTGTAGATATGTATCTTTTTCTTCTGCATTTATAAGAACTTCTTCAAGAAGTTAGTGAGACAATTACCTTCACCATTTCACAATATTATTCTGTTAGTAAAAGAAAAGGAAAAAAAAAAAAGGCAAGAGACTTCGGAAGCAGAAAAAACTTTGATATTCTATGTGGTATTTGGTAACATTAACTAATTGTTTGCAAGCTCTACATGTGTTCGACTTTCATTAGACCGATTGACAATTCTGTTTTACAGCTTTACTAATTGTGAGCTGCGTTCAATGGTCATCATTGATAGAGGGTGAGCATTTTACTTTGAGAACAAAACTTCTATTCAATTCTATGCACAAAATTGATTTGAGTATTTATACCTGCAGTATGATTGGATCAAGTGAATCAACAACTAACTTTCCTGGCAAGATTCCTCGTGGCCCTGATGTTCCCAGTGAAGCTGCAGACTAAACATTCTGGGATTAGGCGGAACAAACTGGAATTTTCATTAGTATAATATGATTCCTTCTTACTTGCATTTACTAGCAAGGATTCAATTTTTTGTTTGACCGGAACAAACTCAATCATATGACCATTTTCAAAATTCCTTTTTCCGGGCATAAAACATTGGTAAAGTTAGGTTATAGATTTGAAGATGATAAGCAGGATGTGAGACAGGGTTTTTCCGATTTTATCCAAGTATGTTGTAAATATGTATACTTGCTATGTATCCAAGAGAACAAAATAAATGGCAAAGGCCAAGAACAAAAAGATTGAGATAGTAATTTCTACTGTATTGATGAGAGCAATGCACTATACTTATATATAATCTATTGCCTATGAAAGAACAAAAAATATAACAGGGTACAACCGTGAGTGAGGTGTGTGTAACGCCTCTATATGTACCACTTAACAGAATATAAAATTGTATCAGAAAAAAGAAAATATTGTACAATATGGACTTATGTATTTCTATTCAATTGGGTTGGGTTTGTTGGTTTTGATTAAGCTATTTGGAACCTTTCTTTCTTCTTCTTTTAGCCCCTCACAAGCTAGAGGTTTGAAGATGTCAAGAAGCCCCAACTTGAATAAATTGGAGTGAAATAACCATGGAGGGAGCGCTTTAGTGAAAATATATGCTAATTGATGGGATGATGAAACTGGTAAGAGATGCATGAGACCAACAAGTAATTTTTCACGGACGATGTGACAATCAATCTCTAAATGTTTCATCCTTTCATGAAAGACTGGATTGGCTACAATATATAATACGCTTTGACCATCACAATAGAGGACAAAACACTTAGTAATAGGAATTCTCAAATCACCAAGGAGGAAAGAGAGCCATTGAAGCTCACAAGTGGTAGAGGCAAGTGCCCTGTACTCTGCTTCTGTGGGAGATCGAGAAATAGTAGATTGCTTCTCGACTTTCCAAGACACTAAAGAGTTTCCAATAAAAAATAAATAACTAGTGATGGAACGTCGTGTATCAACATAGTAGCCCAATCAGCATCACTGAATCCATGAAGCTATGTTAAGGATTTGCAACTAAAAAATAAACCTTTTATAGGGCATCCTTTTAGGTAGCAACTCACAATCAAGGCAGCTTGAAAACGAATCTGAGTTGGTGCTACCATGAATTGACTAAGTTGTTGGGTGGCAAAGACTATATCAAGTCTTGTGTTGGTTAAATAAATGAGACGTCCTACTAATCGTCTCTATGACAAATGATCAGCTAAAGGACCACTAGAGTCTTGATGAAGACGTAAAGAATCATCCGTTGGAGTGGAAGAGGGTTTGCAACCCATGAGTCCAGAATCTTTACTCAAATGCAGACAATATTTGAGTTGACATATAGAAATTCCTTTGCTAGAATGAGCCACCTCTATTCCCAAAAAATATTTCAATTGACCAGGATCCTTTATATGGAAATGAGAGTGAAGGATGGTCTTAATTTTAGTAATTTCAGAAGCACAATTTCTAGTAAGCACGATATCATCAACGCAAACAATGAAAATAGTGAAAACAGAACCAATAACTTTGACAAATAAACTATGATCAGTATGTGCTTGAACATACCCAAAAGACAGCAATAGAAGAGATAATTTTTCATACCATTTGCGGCTTGCTTGTTTCAAGTCGTAGAGAGACTTTTTAAGCTTGCAACAATGATTAGTAGGATGACCAGACAGTCTAGGAGGGATTACCATATACACGTTTTCTTAAAGGTCCTAATGGAGAAAAGCATTACGACGTCTAGTTGTCGCAAGTCCCAACTGTGGATTGATGCCAAAGCTAGAAGGACCCTAACAGTAGCCATTTTTATGACAAGGGAAAAGCTTTCTAAATAATTGATCCCTTCAATTTGTGAGTATCCTTTGGCAACTAGGCGAGCTTTATAGCGTTCCATAGATCCATCAAGCCTTCGCTTAATTTTGAAAACCCATTTTCATCCGATGGGTTTGATAGAGGGAGGTGTCGAAACAATGTCCCAAGTTTTGTTCTGCTTCAAGGCCAAAATTTCTTGCCAACAATGTTGGGTAACAGCCTCTTGATAAGTCTTTGGTTCTTCCTCTCAATGGAGACACATCAAAAAGTGAGAATAAGAAGACAAGTAAAAATAAGTGATGACAGACTAGAGAGGATACAAGATCTTTAAAGATCCTTTGGAACAATGGCCAAATCACTCAGAGAAATGTTGCAATAATAATCATCAAGATAGCTTGGACGAGTAGTGACCCAGGTTGAATGTCGCGGAGGTGGAGGGGAATTTGGTGGTGGTGATAAGGGAAAGGGTTGATGGTGCGGTGAGGAAGGGTCGTTGATTTATGATGAGGAAGGTAAAGTAGGACAAAGAGTAGGATCTAGGGAGTCTATAGGCTCATGGTGAATGGGTGATTCAAAGGAAGGGTGGTTGGAATAGTTTATTTCAAGTTTTGTAAGGGTTTGGGTATGAATTGGGCTGGTGTCATGGGAGTGCATTGGTAGTGGATTGTGAACCTGAAAAAGGAAAAATTGTCTCATTGAATGTAACATTACGTGATACAAATATTTCTTTGTTATTGATGTAAATAATGACATAACCTTTGGTTGCTTTTTAGAAGCCTAAAAAACTCCCACCCTAGAGTGCGCATCACATTTTTGGCGAGAAGGATTTGTTGATGCATAGCAAAGACAACCAAAAGTTTTAATCACATAAAAATCAGGAGGTTCTTTATACAGTAATTCAAAGGGAGTTTTATTTTTAATAACAGGTGGTTTATTAGGAAAACTGCATGTTTAATAGCATAAGACCAAAAAGGTGTCGGAAGGTTAGATTGAAACATGAGGGCCCTAGCCACATTAAGAATGTGTTGATGTTTTCGTTTGACACGTCGATTTTGTTGGGGGTATAAACACAACTTGTCTGATGTAAAATGCGAGTCCATTGTCAGAACAAATACACTTAATGGTGGTATGAAATTAATTTACAATTAAGGCAATAAAATTTCGAACATGTTTTTGGACTTCCCCTTTTGATTTTAATAAGACAACCCATGTAAAACAACTAAAATACTCAACAATAGTTAACAAATATTTATGACCATGAAAATAGGGTTTAGAAAAAGGTCCCCAAATATCCATATGAATTAAATCAAATAAATTGGAAGATGTACTAATACTTGGGGAATATGACAAACGTTTTTGTTTAGCTAAATGGAAAATGTCACAATTGTCATCAACATGTTTAGAAATAAAAGGAAAATTTATGTGTAAAACATTGAGACGTTTCCTGGAAAGGCGTTCTAGGCTAAAATGCCAAAGGTTAACGTTTGTAATGGGAGGGATAGTGAAATTACTGATGAAGGAGGCTTTAAGTGATGTCAAACTCGCATGCTGGTTGATGTCGAAGTGATAAAGGCCTTGTTTTAATTTACCCTAACCAATCATCTTCAATGACCCCATTTCTTGTTTATGACAATGGACACTAGAAAAGGTGAGAGAATATTTTTGAGAAAGAATGAGTTTAGAAATAGAGAGAAAATTAAAATTGAAATTGGGAACAAAAAGAACATTATGGATTATAAAATTTGGGGAGAATTGAACAGAGCCCGGAAAATGGGCAAAGATAGCAGTACCATTGGGTAAATTGATTTGGACAAGTTTGATTTTAGAATAATTAAAAAAGAAATCTAATGAGGAGGTAATATGATCAATTGCCCTAGAATTAATAATCCAAGGAGTGTTATATACACTTTGTTACGAACAAAGTTGATGATTTTGGCTACCATGGTTTTGTTTTTAATGTAGGAATCAAGTGACATTAATCAAGGGATTGATTGATTATTGTTAGATTCTTAGATGACTAAGATGAAGGTATTAACTTGGTTTAGTATTATGGAATATAAGAAAGTATGTGTATATTTATTTATACAAACAAGACGTGCAGATGATTTTTATGTGTACACTTTATCATATTTGAGAGTTAGAACCATTGAATTAATTATGTAGATATTCATTACCCATTTCCAATTAAGTAAGAGATCTAAAGGACGTTAAAGAGTAGTGTGTTGTATCTTTTTTAAGTATTTATAGACCTTATGTAAACATTACATGTATTCATTATATATTGACGTCAGGAACTATTATTTCATGTGTATATTAATTATTTTTTTCCTTCTATATATATATATTAGATTATATTCTCGGACTTTTAGATTATTTGGGATTGAATTTTATGAGGTTTATATGTAGATGGTAGCACATACAGATTTAATATTGAAAAAAATAAGGGTTAAATATGTTTTTAGTCTCTCAACTATCATGCGTTTTTGGATTTGGTCCCTCTTTCAAACTTTGGTTCACTTTGATCTTTGTCCTTAAGAAAACTGAAATATTTTGTCCTCTAGCTGGCTAACGTTGTGTCACGTTTGATGACATGTTTCATGGCTAACGTTTGCCACGTTTGATGACATGTGTTTAGTGAGTAATTTACTAAAAGCAACATTAGGGTTCCTTACTTAGGTAATTGGGGTTTTTTTTTACGCGAATCAAAATTAGGGTTCTTTAGTTACTTTTATCTTCAAGCTAAATCGAAAATTGCAATTAGGGTTCCTTAGTTAGTTTTCTCTTCGATCAATTTGTGGTAGCGCTTGGTATGGCTGTATGGTTGTTGTAGTTGGCGTGAAAGAAACGCGATAAGGAAGGTAATCTTTTGCTTTTGGTTTTCGTTTACAGTTGTTGTTATTTGGGCGTAAATTGTTCATGTTACAATGTGGGTTTAGAAATGGTGTTTGACGTTCCTTTGCATCACATGGGGAAGTTCGTTAACAATAACGAACTATAATATGTTGGAGGAGAGGTATACGTTATAAAAAGAGTTGATCTCAATCGGTGGTTGTACTTTGAAGCAGTGAGATTTGTTAAAGAATTCAAATATGATGTAGAGTTCAAGCTATGGTGGAAGGGATCCAAACAAAGACTACTGAATAATCTCAAAGTACTGAATGATGACAGAGAAATAATGTTGTTGACTAACTATGTATAAGAAAATAACGAAGAAGTTGAAATCTATGTGCAACATGTTCGTAGTGAGACAATTGAAGTTAAGTTTATTACTTTTGATGAAGAGGCAAATCAAGGACACCAACAACATATGGAGGAAGAGGTAAATATGGGTGACAGAGAGGTTAATGTGGATGAGGCTTATGT